GGACTAAAAAAAAAAAAGTCTCAGACCCCCTTCCCACCCTCCATAGCAACAAACAAATGGATGATGTCATGCCGCCCCCATCCTCAGTGTGGGGGGCCCAGCGAGAGTGAAAACGTCCCTGCTTGAATGTTCAAATGAGCGTTGACATCACTCTCCACCTCTTTCTGTTCCCTCCGCCACGTGACCATTAAAAAAAAAAAAAAAAGTCTTGTGGACTCGCCCCCCAACCCACCCTTCATGATGTTATACCGCCCCTGGCCTCAGTGGGGCGCTCCACTCCCCGAGTGGTCTTGACTCTTGTCCATCGAGAGACGTTCTTGCTTGAATTTCCAAATGATTGTTTCGCTGGCCTTCTTGCGCCTACTCAAAGAGGCACCTGCCCCAAGTTGCGGACCCCCCCCTCCCCTCGCCCCCACCCTTCATACCGACAAAATGCTGATGGCATCCCTCTTACGTCCTCGGTGGGGCGTTTCTGTGTGAGCAAGTGGGGAAAAAAAACAGGACCAGTTTCCCACCTGCCCGATATTTGTCAGCCATTTACCATGACAAGGGATCGTGGTGAGAGGAGCACCGTCACACAAGGGGGGGTTGGCCGTCCACTTGGATAAGGCGTCCCAGCGCCCACCCCCACCTGTAACACCCTGTAATGCACACATACCGACACACGTACATGAGAAGACTCGTCACTGCGACAACTCCCCAAGGAGACACAACAATGGTGTCATTTGAGCGCCACAATCAATCCGCCCCTGTTGTTGTCAAGCCTCCACGCCCCCCCCCGCCCCTCCCAGCATGGCGGGACACACGGTGTAGTGTTACGCCATTCACAAGAGGCGCCACGTTCTCCGCTTGTACGCCAGAGCGAACGGCTTGTTTGGCCGTCAGTGTTTTTCATGTTCTCCCGGTGATGCAACAATGGCCGCCATTTTGACAGGAAGTATCGATCTGCCGGCATCCGGTATCATGCCGTTCTAGATCCATCAATATCGTAGGGTATCGGGGATGATTTTCCTCCTGGATATTGTTTTTCACACCCGGTATCGCTTCATGACTGACGTTATTTCTTTCGGTACGGTTTAGATACACCCAACATCTAATATCGTTCCGTCTTTAGTTACATCGATATCCTTTTGTATCATAGATGTGCTTTCGCCGCTGATAATCGCTACTTCGGGATACTGTTGTCATCGCTTTTGGTAGAATATCGATCCACCAGCATCCAATGTTTGTCATTTTCAGATCCGTTGAAATTGTCACGTCGCTGACGCTTGTCCGTCAGAGTTTTGGCTTAATGGAATCGTTATCACTGTATCGTGATATCGTCTTCTCTTCCGGTACAATATCAATACAACAGCATCCGATAGCCTTTCTTCTTTCGTGCGCTAGCTATTTTTTTTTTTCCTTTGAGACGACCGCGTGATGCGCAGCAGCTGTAAAATTGAATTGCCTGGGAAAATTCTTTGAAGTCAATCGAAGACTTGAAGACGGCGGGATCAGAAGTCTCGTTACGTCCCTGCCAGAATACGCGTATTTCGTGTCCCGTCGCAGCCCAAAGAGGCCGAGACACGTTCCTCCTGGAGGTGGCTTGGACGTTGATCGAGAGCGAGCACCTTTTACTCTGCCGGCCCTCCGCCCAGCCGCGCGCGCGGCAATTTACTTTGCGTGCGGCGTCTTAGCCGACACGATTCTAAATTTCCAACTGGGAGGAATCAGCTTGTTCAAAAGGCGGCCTGCCAGTCACGCTCCGCCCGTAGCCCGAGATCTGAGCGCCGCGTGATAACCCGCGACATCTCGCCGCGAAAAAACGGCGGGCCGATCAGCTTTGATGGAGCACATCCGCCGTGACAGGCTACTGAAGAGCTTGCTAATGAATGAGGGGGGTGGGGGTGCCGAGGCGGGGGTGGTGTTGGGGTGCGTTTAGCACTCGCGATGAACAGATGGACCGACGGCTTGAAGAATTCGTGCTTTGCCACCAAACTCCTTTCGAGCAGGCGTATGGGTACCGAGGCACGGTGGAGAACGTGACAATGTGATTGGTTCTCCGTTGGAACCGCAGATTTTGCAGGAAGGGGCGGACTGCCTTGTGCCCCCCTCCTCCCTCCCTCGTGACAATTACAAATAATGAGCCCAACTGTTTTTCTTGGGGTAAACAAAACTCGTCTTCTGAGGGCTAAGGCAACAACTTTTGCTCATGTCAAGGCCTGCTGAAGACCCCCGTGAGTTGAGAGGCCATATTGATCCCCTCCCCCCCCACAAGCCCCTCCTTTCATGACTCTGGGATTGCCCATTTCCTCATTTATTTTTAAAGACGACTCATGAGATTCTTCTGTCCCCTTTTCTCTCCTCAGATTTTTTTGAATCCCATCAATACCACAGCCCCCCGCCCCCCCCCCGCCCCCCCCCACACACACCACAACGCCACCTGTTGCAACCCCGTTTCCCCATTGCTCCCGCTCCCTCCTTGACCCTGAAAATTGTCATTCAACCACAGATCACAGCCGCAGAATATGACGCCTTGCAAAAGCCTTTAAATAAAATATGGTGAAATTTTTCAATCCCAAAACGCGTGGGAAGAAATTCTTGTCAGGTGAGAGAGGAATTAATGCATGTCTGCAAGAAATCATTTGGCTTTTGCACCCCCCTCCAAAAAAAAAGATGAATTT